CCTACTCATAATGATAATAATTTACTAGGTCATTAGGTCTTACACTACACACAAAGACAATGGTGGATGTGTTACGATATCGTTGGCACGGAAAAGTCAACACGCAGTAGTAATAGTAGTTGTAGTTGTAGTAGTAGTTACCGGTTGTTTGGGGTTTTTTTTGCAGTTGCTCCGTACAAATGATGATTATGAGGAGGAGGGGGAGAAGGGGGGGGAGGAAGGACGGAGGGGGGGGGGGGGCGAGAGGAGGAAGAAGGGGAAAAAGAAAAGAAAGAGCAATCGGAAAACTGGGAGGAGGAAGAGGAGGAAGACGAGGAGATGGAGGAGGGGCAGGAAGAAGAAGAAGAAGAAGAAGAAGAAGAAGAAGAAGAAGAAGAAGAAGAAGAAGAAGAAGAAGAAGAAGAAGAAGAGGAGGAGGAGGAGGGTGGCTTCACTGATTTTTCTACAGCAACTGCAACAATAACACTAACACCTGCCTGTTGCGCTGCTGTTGTTGATGATTTTGTTATGCACTTTATTTATTAGCATATTATTTATCTGTGAAGAAAAAAAAATCAAAAGAGGATGGAGTGGGGGCTCTCGTGGCCTAGAGGTTAAGGTGTTCGCCTCTCATTCAAAGGTCCCGGGTTCGAATCGGGGTAGCGACGGAATTTTTTTTTTCTAAAATTGTCTCCTTTCGCCTTCTTTCCTTCTTTCTTGCAATATTCTGTCCTCTGCTTTCGTCTCCTCATTCTGCCCCCACCCCTCACCTCCTTTGCCCACTCCTCTGGGCTCCTGACTCTTTCTGCAGCCTTTCTACTGCTACTCCTTTGCTCCTTTTTACTGCTGTCTTTCAGACACATCCCCGATCTTCTAATAGGAAAGATCTACACCTAACCTTCTCGGACAAGGGCGAAAAATCTCGGAGGTCCCGTGCTCAAGTTACGCACGTTAAAGATCCCTCGGTGGTCCAAAATCGATGAGAGTAGGCTTCGGCCGCCACCCAGGCAAAATTCAAAATTTTCTCATAATTGAACATGTTTGGTGTGTCGCGCGCGCTCATATGACCTTATGCAGTTGCGAGCGCTGTAAAACACTTACCAAAAATTTTTAAAAATAAAAAAAAAACAAGAGGGAAGGAGTATTTGAAGAAACCCAGGTGGGCCGCTCGCTGAAGAATTGTGAGGCAGCGTGGTGGAATCAGGGTCTCGCCAGTTTTTGGGCACGTAGTTATTGGTATCATCTTAATGCTTGTTCACTTGTCTTTATTTGGATAAAAAAAAAGATCCATTTATCTTGATTACAAGTCCAGATATTTGAGAAAGAAGGAGGTGGGGGTCACTTGTTTTCAGAGGTAAAATTTGTGAGAAAATGGCCGGCAAAGATTAGTTATTTCCTTAGCTTAAATGTCTGTGGTAAATAAAAATTTACATTAATTTTTTGTGTCTTTAATCAACGTTTTTCGGAAAAATCCACACGGAAATGAGTTCTTTAATGGGCTTGAAAGGTGTTGAGCCCAAAACCTAAAATTGGGTACAAATGCAAGTTTCTTCACTTTGGTTATTTTGACGAGATCCTGATTCCCAATTTGACTTCTTGATTACAGGATTATAGTTGGGTACAAAAAAGCATGGCCCAACTTATTGTCAAATATCTCCTTAACTATGGACCAGAGATTCTCCAACTTTTGCACTATTACTTAAATCAATTTGTCTTAACAGGTGACTACTTTTTCAGACTCCTGCACACTGTATTCTAGAAAATAGCTTAATAAATATTAATTTTAAAAAACCCATTCGGTGGTTTCTACAGCTTTTTAAACGTACTAGTTCATCAACCCGTTCATAGAACAGGGCAAGACAATGTAAGCGAGGGAAACAGCATTAAGAGGAGGCAGCCTGTAAATGACAGTATACCTAAAAACAAATGCTAGACTTGAATTGAAAGCTCTTATGTTTTTCCTAAAATGTTTTGCCTGAGCGGTGTTTTGAGTCAGAAGATCCTTCAGAATTGTCAGAGGCGGGGGTACAGGTGGTAAATTCACCTGTCTATTCATGTAGCAAATAGACTTATTTTCTTCCTGAAACCTTTTTGCATTGCAAAATCGACAAATTAATGTGATTCTGGAAAGTTCGTGAGGTAGAAGCGGATTGTCTGCGCTCTCCCCTAGAGCTGGGGGACGCTGTTGTCGATTGGCCTGATCATGCCTATGACTTTGATGAAGATTTAGATCTATATTATCTTGCAACGGTAGATCTAGACTTGCTTGTCGTTGGATCTGGCGAGATCACCGTCTGACCCTATCTCGAGATGGCATTTTCTTAATCTGTCTAGATCTAGATATAGATCTAGACTTAGATCTAGCCTGCCTGACCCAATCTCTAGATGGCATCTTCCCTCACTTCGCTCGGCTCTATAGTCCGGACAACACCAAATGGGCAACTTTTCGACCTCATTACACCGAATCTAAGTTTCGAATCTCTCTGATTTTTTGCATGCGGCGCTGAATTCTAAAAGACCTAAAAAATTTCGATTTTCGTGCATTTGCGAAAAAAATAAATATGTGCTGTCTATATAATCATTAGTACGCTAATTTTCTCTTCTCCTTCTATCCCGTGGTTGGAGCAACCGTGGGGGCAACACTGCATCTGAAAACCAGCTCTCACCATCTATTTTTGTCCTCTGCTTTCCTCAGATTGTCACCCATCGTCGTTACTGTCTACTCTGTAATGTCCTCCCATCTCCTTCTCTGCCTTCCTCTCTTTCTCTTTCCTTGTACGGTTCCTTGCAGGATTGTTTTAGTAAGTCCTGTGGATCTTGTGACATGCCCATACCATTTTAATTTTCGTCTCTTCACTGTGATCGGTAGATCTTCATGCTGCCCCACTGCTTTGGTGATTCTCTTTCGTACCTCAGCCTTTGAAACGTGGTCCTTGTACGAGATGTCAAGGAGTCTGCGGTAACATCTCATCTCTGTGGTCTGAATCTTTTTCTCTAATTCTGCTGTTAGTGTCCCACGACTCGCAGGCGTATAAAAATATTGAGATGATCAGTGAGCGCATTAGTCTGATTTTTTAATTGTGCGTGATGTTTCTGTCAGTCCAAATAGGCTTCAGTTTTGACAGTGCAGCTGTTGTTTGTGCGAGTCTGGAGAGAATTCTGGTCTTGAGCCTTCATCTGAGACGATTTATCCGAGATATTTGAAGCTGTTGACGGTCTCAAGTTTCTTACCCCTGACTTTGATGTCCGCGTTGATGCCATTGGTGTTATTGGTCATTAGCTTGGTTTTCTCGGCCCTGATCTCCATACCGTAGGCTGCTGAGGCTGTGTTCAGCCGCTCCACTAGTGTGGCCAGCTCCTGTTCTTCTCCTGCTAATCCATCGATGTCATTGGCAAAACGCATGTTAGTGATTGTACTGCCTCCAATACTGATTGTTCCATTGTGGTCTTCCAAAGTGTCAGTCATGATTTGTTCTAGGAAGATGTTGAAGAGAGTGGGAGAGAGTAAACAGCCTTGCCTCGTTGTCCTGAACCAACCCCCCATGCTGCTGTTAAGGTAGACTGCGCTGGAGGCCTTGTCATATAGTTGTTGTATGACGTTGATCAGGTTGGTGTTCATGTTATATTTCCTCATAGTTGCCCATAAGGCTGCATGCCAGACCCTGTCGCAGGCCTTTCTAAAATCCACGAAGATATGGTATAGGTTTTGTTGGTGTTGGAGGTACCTCTCGCACAGTATTCTGAGGTTGAAGATCTGTTCTGTTGTGCTGCGCCCTACTTTAAATCCTGCCTGCTCTTCGGCAATGATCTTCTCTGCCTGTGGTTTCAATCTGTTCCGCATTATCTTCAACATAACCTT